ACTTCAGTAACTAATTCGATCAGAAAGTGAATCTAGTTTTACTTTGGGGAGTCTTAATAATTTTCTAAATAATCGGGATAAACAAACTGAAGATTAAGGGGAAAACGGAAATTTTAAGCACAATCAGTTTACGACAAAATCGATTTTGGTTTTTGATTTACATTAAAACAAATGACCATATAGATACATGAAATTTTCACCGAATGTTTATACAAGTATATTCTATCCACCATGCAACTTTCWAAAATTTTCGACTGAAGTTGAACTATTTATAGGTATATGCAATTTTCGATCATTATAAGTTTTTTTTTCTATAAATATCGATAAAAATGTATTTGTTGGGTAGAAAAGCTTGAAAATTTAATACAAGGCTTCTAACATATTGTAACAATAGCAGTTGAAAAATATTAAAAATACATATGCATGATTTTTTTTTATAAGCATTTAAAGTTAAATTTTTGACTAAATACGTAAAAATTACGGCAATTTTCAAATTACCTTAGATAGGAATTCATAAAAGTTTATCTTTTTAGATCTAAGATTTGAAAATTAAATACAAGGCTCCTAACATATTTTTACAATAGCGGTTGAAAAATAATAGTGTCAACAATCAGTGTTAGTAAAAGTCCAAACATTTTTACCAATGTTATTACTTATTATTATTATTTAAGTATATTAGGTAGGTACTACATATTAAATACATGACCTTATACTTTATGACTCAATAACAATAATTCGACATTTCGTAAAAGTATGGGCTCAGACGCTCAGTAAGGCACTTATTTCACGTCCATTATAATTTGTATTTTGTACACAGTCAAAATATGTTGGCAAAAGATTTACTATAAGTTCTGATGTGTCAACCACAATTTTTTTAACTAGGAAAAATGATTAGGCAAATAATGAATATGCTTATGTCGTAAGTGTAAAAGTGATATGGATTTGTATGCACGAAAGGAGAGGGGAAATTGAAAGGGGAGTTTAACGTTGTATATTTATACAGATTATATTCTTATAGCTTAATGTATCATATGATTGTAATGATTGATAATATAATGTAATTTTTTTAATATTATTAACTTCTGAGTCAGTATAGTGATTACAATATTGGTTTAATGTAAAGTCTAAAAGCCCCCTTTTCAGAATTTTATTTTTGTTTTCCTGTTTCATTTTGAACAATACAGTACATTTTTTAAACTTTTGGCTCAACAAAGTACAACTCGGTAAATTTTTCGGAAATAAATCACTTCCAATAAGTAATAAAATTAAGCAGTTATACTGTCCAAAAAGTATAGACAGATGAAACTGAAAGAAAAAAAGCATACATTAATTGATAAATTAATACTTTTATCGCTCCGCTCAGAATTTAAAAAAACCCGGGGTACCATATCAGTTTTCTTAAGGGCATGCAAACAATTAAAGAAATCAATTTTTTTTCATCTCCAAGCCAATCGTCATTAAAGTTTTCACACCTCAAAACTCCTTCCCTTAAGGCCTTTTAAATGGAACACATTAAAAAACAGCTACAAACTGATTTGTACTTGGTACCATCTAGAATAAATTTAAAAAGTCGAGAAGATGATGATTTTTACTGAATAATATTATATAAAAATGCACAATAAATTTATTTATTTAATTAAAAGATGATTCAATTGGTTTTTTTAATTTAGTGTAGGTTGTTGGTGGCCGTTTTAATGAATTTTAGTATGGTGTATATTGTTTACCGTTACAACAATAATCATAAGGGACATTTAGTTATAATGTAAATTGATATAGGTAATGTTTAAAAATAAAAGTTGAACAATTTGAACATTAGTTGTAATTATAAACATTTTTATTCAATTTTTATACTTAAATCGTTATTGAAATTAAAAATACAATAATGTAACATGTAAGTATAACTTAGCAGGTATAGAGATGGTAGGTACTTAATAGAAAAAATAACTTAAACAATATCTATTAATAATACAAACATCAACCAATGAAATATTTCTCCTTACATACTATTTAATTTGGACAAAATTTGCATCATTATTATACTATAAATATTTTTATTAATATGTAATCCATTTATCAAACAACTATCCTCCATCTCACTTCCCGAGAATTTGCGCAGAAGACTCAAAAGACAGTGGCCTAGAGACCTACTCAAAAACTAAAAAAATTTTCAAAACAATAGGTACATAATACCTAAAAAAATACCTGGTCCGGTGGCACTGCTGAGTGCCTGTCCATAAACGCTACCTCCTGTTATAAATTCTTGCATCGAATTTACTTATTAATTATATTGTATAGATTGTAGATAAAATGTTTAATAAAATTAAAAATTAAAAAAATCATTGAAATTATTGATACTTATATTTTGTGTTATACTTGATAACTCAAAAATATATTACTACTAAGCACTAATAACCTATCTACCGAACATCTACAACAATTATCTTAACGAATTTGATTTTAGTTTACATATTGTACGAAATAATGTACTCGAAAAGTTTTTTAAAAAAAAGTGTATTCTTTAAAAATTAATAAATCCAAACTACAGCTATAGTCTGGTCATGAGACTCATGACACCAATAATATTAAACAGTCGACTTACAGGTAACTAGATAAGTAAGTATACCGATAGTTCTGATTCATGTCCCCTGAGTCGACTGCAACAGCTCGCGTGTCGCGACAGCTGCAATACTGCGTGGTGAGTGTTTTTATGGTTTATAATAATAATTATATATTTAATAATATGATGAACATGGACATAATATTATATATTAGGTAGTATACACTTCAGGTTGGTTAATAAGTAAATAACACACATGCAGGTTAACGTATAGGTTATAACCACCTACCTACCATAATATTATACAGAGTGATCATCGAACATGCTGCTATCTACACTTTATTTTTAAATACTTAGATCAAAGTACCGAATATTCAAATACCTATACTTATATTTTTATACTATTTACCAGAAGTATTCTTAGGTGACATAATAACTTATTTTATTCAAATCAAAATCAGCCTTTATTACCTTAAGACTTTTTTGAAAATGTGGACGTGTCTAAATAGACATTTTTAACGATTATTATTTCTGCTGAGCTGTTATATAAAATTTACGTACCTACCAAGGTTGATATATAATGGTTCAACATAAAATATAATAAGATGGGGTGTTTAATTTAATTATTACTTAGCTTTTAGTCATTATAATACATTGAAATTTTATTTACGAATTAAAAAATGTAATAAAAGTTACCACCATATCTTCTAAATCTATTATTTTTAATGATATTACCCTTGTAGTATTTAAAATTAATAACTCCGAAACCACTACTCACTTGAGATAAGAAATCAAAAAAATCATATTTTTACATAATATATAATAGTAGTCGCAGAAAAAAGAGTGGTTCTCATTTGAAAAATATCAGTTTGCGTACCGTGTTATAGAATACTCATATACGGTAGAGTATTTAAAAAAAATGTATATTTCAAAATTTTAAGATGAGAATTTGTCATTTGAATTTATAGATTTATCGTTAAAGTATAAACAAATAAGAGGATAAGCGTACCACTTAAGTAGTAAAAACCCTGCAAGTATTTTAAATTATACCTATGGTCTTAAAGACGTGACAGACGTGTACAGGTATACTTAAAAAATGCCAAAAATCAGGAGTCGAATAAAATCAATAATTGAAAAGTTACAAAAATATGACTGTTGAGATCATTACGTCATTTCGGTGAATCACTCTGTATAATCATCGACGGTCAGGTGTCGCGGCGGGGCGGGACCGGTCCTAGGCCGCGGCGCGTCGTTGCAGTCGTCGACGCGCAGACGATACTTAAGTACCGTGCAGCGAGTATTGTAGTGAACGATACTCGCCTCCATCCGGCAAGAATAACAAGAATGAAATACTAAATAGTAAATAGTGAACGCGTCGCGGTGCTCGGAGTGTGACGTGCGCACGTCGACGATTGCTCTTCGTTCGCGATACTATCGTAATAATTTTATGATAATATTATTCGTCTGTATTATAATATTATCATCATATCACGGTCGTTATTATAATATTTAGACGACACAACTATAATAATAATATAAAATATGTACAATAATTTATTTTCACATCGCGATACACAAAATTAATATTATATCACGCTGCAGTGCGGTTATAGCCACCGTCGATAATTTTTATTTTACCATTACCTATCTGCATATAGTGGATAAGTCATCATCATGTCCAGAAAACTCGAGAAATTCGTCGTGCTGTTCGATAACACCAACCTGTTGTATTTCCCGGGTCAGTTTCTCAGCGGCAGAGTGTTGGTGGAGCTCAAGGACGACACTCAGGCCTTGGGTAAATATAATAATATATGATGAATATAAGAATATAACATATTAATAGGTACTACTATAACAATACGACGAACAGACATCATCGTTGCAGACGAAATTTTTTTATTGTAACATAAAATGTACAATAGGTACACTATATAGTATATATTATAATCTGCAAGTAGACGCTATGCAATGATGACAATAAGTACCTATTTAATATTTATACGTCTTATGCATAATATAGTGCAGGTTGGCATACGGACGAGTCGTATGTCTTAATGTCTATATGATATTACCATCATTGGAACATGTTAAGTTTTAAAAAATACTTGATTCGTGATTTTATATTACAATTCAGATGAGTACAAAATAGTTAAAAATAATGCTCGAATAGTAAAGTATACAATACTTTATAACGGTATAAATTCTATGATGACGTATATATCAGCATTTACATGATATGTATATTAAATTATCCAATATTCATATTATTATAAAAACGTACCTATACATATAGTCAAATTGCGGTATCGGTGGAGCTCTCCACGAAGATTCATTTTCAATATTTTTTATTCATAATAAATCACCTACCTAATTGAAACGCATAAAATAAACTATGAATGACAATTATTATGAATAGAAATTACTTGTAGGTACAAACAACATACCTATAGGTGTAGCGTGTAGTCGTGTAGATACCTACTCATACACGATTTTTTCATCCAACGGAATTCATTTTTCGTCACTCTTCCAATGAAAATTTATTAAAATATAAAATATTACACATGAATCCATAATAAGTGTCTGTATACATAAAAAAAAATCTCTATAAGTGTAATATTATAATTTATAATAATATAACATGTGTTGTAACCATGAGTGAAAGTGTATAATATTATTATCCTACCGGTTGGCGGAGTAGGCGTAAAAAAACCTGCAGCTCGGCACACCGCACACGCCTCGTAGAGTCGTACCTGCATAATATATATTATATATATATACATGTGCACGGTACACAGGTACATGATATAATTTAAACGCATTATTGCGCGCGTCTTTGTTTTCACTATAGCAGTGTCGTACAATATACTGTATATAATATAGTCTTGTATAGTTGTATTATGTACCGTGATCGCGGAAACCGAACGTTTTGTCGGCGTGAAACTTTCGTTTTGTTTAGACTATATAGCTCATCATAGATATATTTATAGAAATTCTGCGCTTTCCGTAGAAAATGCACGAAATTTTACTCCTCACAGCTGTGTAATTCATGTTGAAACATATTTTATATAAATTATAATGTTATAATATACCACGTTTGAATTGTATAACAATTTATCTAAATGTGTTTGACATCTGATTTTTAGTTATGTATACAGTAGCAGGGTGGGTAAACATGCGATATAAGTATATTATATTACTATTATTATAAAGCTAATAACCTTAGTTGTTGAGGCTTTAAAGTAATAAAAAAAAAAAAAATTACTATTATTATACTATTGGCTATTGTTGGCTGTGGCCTGAGGGAAGCGTAGACCCGTAGACATTTAATAGGATCGAAAGGGAGATCACTATAATAGATATATAGATGAGACGTTTGTGAAAAAAATAGATTTCTGAAGCAGAAAATAAATTGTCGATGAATAAATTTGAAAATAATTCGTAGTATAACAGCTATAACGAGATCCTTATTCCTTAGAAATTGGAATACGGAAAACTAAATTTCGTACTTGAAATCTCTGCAGTAGGTGGCTCTTTAAAACGCGTATATTGCAGTGTTTACAATTTTTTACTAGATCCAAATACTGAAATACCTATACAGCCTTAAATGAAATCGATAAAGTAGTAAAGTTCCAAACTTTGTTTATAAAACGTGACCCATATATGTCACAAGCCAGTATGAGTACCTAGTAAAATTTAGTCGTAAAAGATCGTCAAGAGTACTCGAGTACCTACCTACTACCTAATATGCATAATATTATTACGTAGGTACAATGCCATTGAACTTGCCAAATTGTATGTATTTCACTCTCTCGCATTTAACTGCATACAATATAATATAGATGAATGATAACCTGAAATATAATATGATGCTTATTACTTCAAAAATTAATTTTCAATACCTTAATCGTTATCCAAGCTAATAATAATTTATTAAAAAAAAATAAACAAAACTCAAAAAGGTACTTATTTCTTTATCTATCATGCTTATCTCTACCGCTTTCCGAAATGTAGAGTAATTAAGTATTTAGTCCTGCATGGGGTGTGCATGAATTATTAAATAGTTATAGATACGTATATAATAATTAATAATATGTATTATACTGTGAATAAAAATTAATAATTTATTATAAATCTAATTAATAATTAACCTTAATGATGAGTATAATATATTTATAGATATACTATACAATAACATCAATCAGTACAAGTCTTTTTAAATCTATGAGCGGGAATATACAAGAAAAAAAATGTACAATTGAACAGTAAACACGCTTAATAGTTAATATTAAACTATATTATATTAACAAATGATACTTACATAGGTATTAATTCATATAGGTATTAAAAATAATCTATCGTACACGCCGTAGTTAATCCCTCTTAATATCATGTATATGCCTTTAATAGATTTTGTGAAATATCCTACCTGTGTCACAATAAGTTTTGAGGCGTGGTCATTAAATTGTGGGTTGATTTTTTTTTTTTGACCTTCATAAGTTCATAACCAAAACGATAACATGCCATTGAAGGTAGGTATAACGTGAAAATTGACAATGTTAATATTTCTGTCTTCTACAGGAATGTATTATTTCAACAGAAAAACCAGTGTAGAATTAGATTTTTAATTGCGAACATATGTAAATTGTAAACAAGAAATTATTAGATCAATAATTAATCATAATATAAAGTTTTAAATTGAGAATTATTAACTTACTATAGATTAGTTAATATTGGCTCTGGAAGTCGTTGAGGACCATAGAAATAGGATGGAGGTGGCTAAGAAGGCATTAGTCCCCCAGATTTCTGTCTATACGTATGAGAACTGAAAGATTTTTACTTAAAAAAAAGGCTATTATATAATATATACAGACCCCCATGGCCCCATATAAATTCATACGCTATGCCTATGAGGGTAATACTGGACAACTAATAAAACAATGATTGTATAATATTCAGCTGAAGGCAATTTTAATTTAAATGATAGATAAAAGATAATTAATAATACCTACTCTTTCTATAAATATTCCATATGAATATTATTAGGTACGATAAATTTAATAAAATTAACATGTTTGCTGATTAAAAGATAAAATATATAATGAATATGAATTTTTGATAAACATAATCCCATACGTCCTACCCACCTTAATAGATTGATTAAAATTAAAATTAAATTTTTAGATAAAAATATTATAATAGGTATTTAGTATTATATATAGACATCGACTGAATTCAGATTTAGGTAATATAACGTTAGCAGCATACCTATACTTATAATAGTATGATACTATGATGTACAACTTTATTGTGTCCGGCTGCTCCACAAATCCGTCTTTGCCGGGGATTTCTTGTAACATCGGTGAATTCGGTGACTAGATTAGTGTATATGTTATTATGTTGTAAATTTCAAACATTTGGAATTATTTTAATATAAAACCTATGTATCACAGTTTCACAGTGCTGTGTCCTAAATCAAGATATTTCGACATATTTTAATTGATGCGATTGTACTCAAGCAAGTTAGTGATAATTTTTAACTGAGTTATATTAAGTTAATGGAAAACATTTTAAAAAGTTTAAAGTTAATAGTTAATCTAATTCTTTTTTTTAACTCAGTTAAGTTAAAAGTTATATGAACATTTTCAATTAACTTTATTAACTTAAGTTAAGTTAAGTTATTTTTTTTTTTTATAATATCTATATAAATAATAAAAATCATAAATATTATTGACCACAGGAAATAGCCAATAGCTTTTCTATACATAGTATTGAATTAATAAAATTATGTAGTAGGTATGAAAAAAATACAAAATTGAAAATGCCGAAACAAATACAATCCTTTGATTTATTAATACACTAATACAGACAAGTATTATACATTTTTTTTAAATTATTAAATAAAAATAACATGGTATTTAAGAATGTACTCTGAATACTTTTTCAGGAAACTAAAAGTCTAAAACTGTTAGAGAATATAGCCAACTTTATACTTCATTATATTTATTATTTAATTATTTATAAATTAACTTAACTTGAATTTGATTAAAAGTAACTCGTTATTTATTAAGTTTATATCAATTAAAATAAGTTAAGTTAAAAATTAAGTTTATGAAAATTAAATTTTAAAAAATTAAGTTATTAGTTAAAATTAACTTTTTAACGCGTTTATGCCCAGGCTTGATTGTATTTATATCTACCACCCGTTCATCCATGGCCAGTATACCCACTTATTAAATAGGTATTTTATTTTTATCAGAGATAATTCATCAATATATTGTTCTAAATACTTGAAATACTCGACCAAAGAGTAAACAAAATATGTAGGTTTTAAGCAGAACAAGGTAAAATAAAATATCTATACATTATTGCATCCATGACTCTGTAAACATGATGCAACATTATATTTTGTACGCAGCGACGTTTACAGTTTCACTTACTTTATTTATAATATTATTATTGTACCTCTATACCTATACAAACCTGGAATATAAGCCACAAAACGACCTTATTTTGAAATGTCAATTTATTTTCATTCGTTTCGAAGTTACTCCGCATCAATAATTAGCCGAAGCACTTACTTATCACCGAAAAACATCAGTACATAGTATATAATCATCGTACAATTATTATAATAATGGTAAGATTTAATATTTTAGTTGTTATAATAAGTATATCACCAAGTCGCGTGACTGCACGACCGTTTTGCAATGCTATTTGAGGATCATTAAAAATGTAACGGACCAATCAACGAGGATCCGTTAAATTCTCAATTGGTTTTGCAATACACAGATGCACAATAAATAATAATGTTATTACTACAGTAGTACAGTGAGTAATGAGTAAAGTGACCGCACTATATAATATGAACTGCAAGAACGTCTGAATAACATCATGACAAATGTTAGCAGTAATGATTCCCAGGGAAAAATGACCCCGTGAAAAAAAAACTATGGAAAATATAACTCCCTAATAAATAATAATAAAGGATATACGATATACCTAACCTGAGTCCAGAAAAAAATTATTCGTGACTAGATTTTAATGTTTTTTAGTTATCAAAAAAAGTATGCCGTTTTAAAATATTTCACATAAAGGCAGTTTTTCGTGGTTATTTTTTCAAGCAATATTATGTTTAACATATATATATATATATATAGACAACTTGTTATATAATTGCAATTTACAGGTATAATAAAATTATTGTATGCATAATTGTTTACCATATTTGAACTGAAACTAACTGAAAACTATCTAATTTAGATAGCTTTTTTCCAGTGAGCCAGTGACCATTATACTGATCACATTTATACATTTTTAGATTCTGAACGAAGTGATTATTGATTTTACAATGATGTGTGTTTTTTTTTTTTGTGTCTGTGTACACTGTACAGCATAACAAGTCGAAATAATGCTTCGATTTCAAACTTTAGGGGTGGTTTCCGATGTAAAAGTGAAGATCCTTGGTGCATTATAGAGGTCAAAAGTAAA